TTTTGGGGCAGGAACGCACAGGAACGGAGTTCCGGCTGGCTCCCGAGTTGGCCACGCCCAGCAGGAACCCATTAGCATAATAGGCCACACCAAACAGCAGAAACTCATTAGGATTGGCTACATTAGGGGTGTGTGGCCTAACATGCAAAGGAGTTCCTGCTACAAAAAAGGCCCTGGGTTTTGACAACAAACAAGGTAAACAGAATAAGAAGCAAAAGGTGGGTGTGGCTGGATGACCACACTTCTGGTAACATGGGGGGGCAGCCTAATGTGCCAATGAGCTGTACTGTCAGGGGTGTGGCCTAATATGCGAATGAGTTTCTGCTGTTGGGTGTGGCCTATTATGCTAATGAGTTCCTGCTGGGCTTTTTCTACAAAAAGAGCCCTGCGTGATGCTTAAGTGACCCTGTGAGTGTGTGAGGACACTATGACTTTAAGTGGGTGGGGCTTAGCATCTTATAGATCGTAGAGAGGATCGGAGCAGATGAGCAGGGTCATGGCTGAAGTGGCAAGTCAGTTCCGCTCCTTCTAATCCTGAGTTCTTCGTTACATGAACAGTTAATAAAGGTTATCTTGTTATACTGCATCCTGGAGCCAGAAGAAAGCCTCCCGGCAACCATATTCATTACCTGCCAGCACCTGAAGCGCCAGCAGGAGGAAATGTGGGAAAAGGCAAATCATAGAGCTTTGGCAATTCCTAGAGTGTTCCATGACATCACTTCTGGTTTTCACTGGAAGGGACATCAGAGAACCAGCTCAGGGGAGGGGGTTGCTGGCTGCAGCCTAGCAACCCTATTCCACAGTCTGGAGATCAGCATGGCAACCAGTGCAAAAGTTGGGGTAGGTACATGGGAGGTGTGAGGGCACTGTTGCCTGCATTACTACGCTTCCAGGTATAAAGTGGAAGTGACAATGGGTAGCTCTAGGAATCACCAGAAACCCTATGTTAAAACCAGAGAGCTTCCAGCAGTTCTTTATAGCTACCCACTGTCACTTCCAGGTTGGATCTGGAAGTGACCAACCAGGGCGGAGGATGATGGTGGGCAGTGATCAGAGAGAGGCCTGGCAACCCAAGCTGTAATTCTGGGAAGATCGCCAAGCCCAGGGGTCTTGTTGTAGAAAAAGAGCTGCCGGAGCTCATTAGCATAACTCATTAGCATAACTTATTTGCATATGCCACGCCCCCTGACATCACCGGAAGTGACAGAAGGCCACACCCCCTGACATCACCGGAAGTGTGTCAGAAGGCCCGGCTACTTACCCTCCTGCTTCATCCTCATTCCCAAACGGAATGAGGATTGAAGCAGAGGGCGGGGTAAAGAAGGGGCGGGGCTTCACCACGTGACCGCCCCGCCCCCTAGAGGTTCTCTTCCGGAGCTCCGTACCTGAGAGCTCCCCCCCGACTAGAGCCCTGGCCAAGCCCCATATGGAGGCTGGTAACCTGTGTCTCGCTTGATTTTTATCTGCTGCATGCCTCTTATTAACACGTGGAACTCATTGCTGCAGGAAGTGGGGGCAGCTTCAAGAGGGGACTGGATAAACAATCAAGCAATCGTTTATTACGATCTGAGGTCAGAAATCAGACTCGTTAAATGACACAGACATTACTAGGCATAAGGACTGGATAAACATATGGAGCAGAGGTCCATCAGTGGCTATTAGCCACAAAGTATGGAGTTTTATGCTCCTGATGGCACCTGGATTTTGGCCACTGAGTGACACAGTGTTGGACTGGGAGCCTCAAACGCCCTAAGCACAGGAGTCTGCCTGCTGCATCTCTGCCTGTGGGCCTACTGGCCTTGCCTTCTCCCTTCCCACTGGCTTCTGTTAATGATACAGTGTCTTAGATCAGGTTTGACTGAAGATGCAGAAGAGTAAGCCACTGTGATAGGCAGCTGGCTGCTGTGTCTCTGCATGCCCCGTCTGCTCTATGCATGACTCCTTCTGGTTGGTGAGTGAGTATTCTCAGACATCCATCTCAGCTGGGGCAGAATGCAGCAGCAAGGCTGCTGTTGTGCCTTCCTGTGCGGGAACACATCCAGCCCGCCCTAAAAGCACTGCACTGGCTGCCTGTAGCATACCACATTCAGTTCAAGGTGCTGGCTGTTACCTTTAAAGCCCTATATGGTCAGGGACTTACATACCTAAGGGATCGCCTTTCCCCACATGCTACCCAGGGAGCACTAAAATCGGGATCGCAAAATCGCCTGGTTCTCCTGGGCCCTAAAGAAGCCAGGCTTGCTGCAACGAGAGCCAGGGCCTTCTATGTGGTGGCCCCTTACTGGTGGAATTAGGTCCCGGATGACATCAGGGCCCTGTGGGACCTTGTGCAGTTCTGCAGGGTCTGTAAAACGGAGCTCTTCCACCAAGCTTCCAATTAGGGGCCGCCTTTAACATCATCTCCTGCCAACCTAGCAGTTCGAAAGCAAGATATTGCAGGTAGATAAATAGGTACCACTTTGGTGGGAAGGTAACAGCGTTCTGTGAACCTTGGTGTTTAGTAATGCCGGCCACATGACCACGGAAACTTCTTTGGACAGCGCTGGCTCTTTGGCTTTGAAACGGAGATGAGCACCGCAACCCTAGAGTCGGATTTGACTGGCTTTCGAGCAAGGGAACCTTTACCTTTACTTTTAACATCATGGCCCTGGCCCTAACACCAACAGTACCACCAACCTGATGACCAACAGTTTGGCAGGAGCCTGGACTATGGCTTAGGTGCCCATCCGAATGCTGAAAGAATGCTGCCATTTTCTATTACAGCTGTGCTCTGAGCAGTTATGGTTTTATATTGTGATCTTAACCTAATTCTGTTTTTAGTATATTTTGGAGTTTTAATGTATATATCTATATGTATGGTTAGCCGCCTTGAGCCTGCCTAATTCTGTTTTTAGTATATTTTGGAGTTTTAATGTATATATCCATATGTATGAATTGTTAGCTGCCTTGAGCCTGCCATGGCGGGGAGGGCGGGATATAAGTTTAATAACAAATAAATATAAACAAACAAACATGGGGGAGTGGGGTCTTGCATGGGAGAACAATTCTTACTCTTTTACACAATAAAAGAAAGCTTCATGGAGCAAAGCACTTTGAGTTTTGGTGTAGTGGTTAAGTGTGCGGACTCTAATCTGGGAGAACCGGGTTTGATTCCCCACTCCTCCACTTGCACCTGCTGATGTGACCTTGGGTCAGTCACAAGCTCTGGCACAGCTGTCCTTGGAAAAGAGCAGTTTCTGTCAGAGTTCTCTCAGCCCCACCCACCTCACATGGTTTCTGTTGTGGGGAGGGGAAGGGAAAGGAGTTTGTAAGCCGCTCTGAGACTCCTTTGGGTAGTGAAGGGCGGGGTATAAATCCAATCTCTTCTTCTTCTAGAAAAGATCCTGGTTTAATATGGGATTCATGGGCTCTCTGTTATGTAAGATACCTTCTCTAAAAACTTTCAACAGTTTATTTTTACAAAAAATAATTTTATTGTTTCATATTTTTACAAACACCAAACAAGAAACTAAAACAAAACAAATCATCTGATAACCTCATACAATATATAGATAATGCCATCATATGAGATAATACTCATAAGAGAGCCAGTTGGGTGTAGTGGTTTAGGAGCGCGGACTCTGATCTGGGAGAACTGGGTTTAATTCCCCACTCCTCCACATGCAGCTGCTGGGTGACCTTGGGTAAATCATAAGTTCTTTCAGAGCTGTTCTCTTAAGGGCAGTTCTCGAGAGAGCTCTCTCACCCTCCCCTACCTCACGGGGTGTCTGTTGTGTGGAGGGGAGGGGAAGAGACTGTAAGCCATTCTGAGACTCTCAGTGAAGGGTGGGGCATAAATCCAATCTCATCTTCTCTTCTAATTGTTACAACCACAAAAAACCCACAAAACATGAAAAATATATGAACCAGAAACAAGAGTAGATAGAAGAAAAAGGAATTGTATAGTTCTCGATGTTTGAAAAAAGCAAAGAACATTCTGCAGGATTTGTCACACCCTGGACATGAACTACTGCCTTCGGGCAGAAAATATAGGACAATTAAAACAAGGACAAACAGATTAAAAAAATAGTTTTTATTCGAGAGCTATTACTGCCTTAAATGCTGTATGAAGTTGGAATTTGGGTGACATTAGTGGTTTTAAGTTGCTATGTGAACCTTAAGGGAGTTATGAGATAGTTGTGAATGGTTGTGTGAGTGTATATGAATATTGTTGTAGATCACCGAAATGATTGCATCTTAATTTCGTTGTACTATGTACAATGACAATAAAGTATATTACTATTACTAAAATAAAATAAAAAGGCATGCACTGGCAGCAAATCCCACAATTTAATTGTGGATGCTCTCTTCTGGCAATCTTTACCAGATCTGCAATATCCTTTTTGGGCTACAGGAACAAGATCCAGCTGGAGCGGTCAGATACATGCTGATATTCTGTAGATTGTAAAATATGACTTTTTTTAAAAAATTCACAGCTATTTACATCCCATGCTCTCAGCTGAAAGAACTCACAAGGTGGCTTGCCACAAGAAAAGAATAAAATCACAATATCAAGATCTTAACATCTTACAAGCAGCAGCACACAGTGGTTATTTTGACAGCTGATCAATGGAAGTAACCCCCTCTATCTTACTCCAGCTGCAGGTGTGATTGGCAGGTTCCTATCTGATCATGAAAGACAGCTATAAAACTCTCTCCTGCTTTATGTTATAATTCACTGATGGAGGAAAAAACCAGGGATTTATGCAATTTCTTTGCATGAATTCACAAGTACTATAAGAGTAGATTAAAGGCTCTGGCTTCAGCCTCAGCATTTAGACAGCTTCTCTGCTGTGTGAACACTTTGATGAGAAGTTTTTCCCCAGTGTGAATACTTTGGTGATGAATAAACCTTGCGTTGGGACTGAAACTTTTCCCACATTCCAAACATTTTTATAGTTTTTGCCCTGTGTGAATCCTCTTATGTTGACTAAGGCTTGATTGATAAGAAAAGCTCTTGCTGCAATGTAAGCAATTAAATGGCTTCTCCCCAGTGTGAACCCGTTGATGTGAAGTAAGATTCCCTATTTGTCTGAAGCTCTTCCCACACTCCAAACATGTATAGGGCTTCTCCCCAGTGTGAATCCTTTGATGTGTAGCGAGGTCGCCACTGTGAGTGAAGTTCTTTCCACACTCCAAGCATTTATAGCGCTTTTCTCCTGTGTGAATCAGCTGATGGTTAGTGAGGGTGCCACTCTGAGAGAAGGTCTTTCCACACTGCAAGCATTTATATGGCTTCTCTCCTGTGTGAATCCTCTGGTGCGTAGTGAGGTTGCCACTGTAGGAGAAAGTCTTTCCACACTCCAAGCATTTATAAGGCTTCTCCCCTCTGTGAATCCTCTCATGTAAAGTAAGGCTGTATTTCCAGCTGAAGCTCTTTCCACAAGCTGAGCATTTATATGTCTTTTCCCTTGTGTGAACCGTCTGATGTAAAGTAAGGCTACCTTTCTGACTGAAGCTCTTCCCGCATTCCAAGCATCTATATGGCTTATCTCCTGTGTGAGTCCTCTGATGTGTAGTGATGTCACCCCTGTGAGAGAAGGCCTTTCCACACTCCAAGCATTTATAGGGCTTCTCTCCTGTGTGAATGTGTTGATGGCTAGTGAGGTTGCTACTCTGAGAGAAGTTTTTTCCACACTCCAAGCATTTATACGGCTTCTCCCCTTTGTGAATCCTTTGATGTAAAGTAAGGCTATTTTTCCGACTGAAGCTCTTTCCGCATGCCAAGCATTTATATGGCTTTACCCCAGTGTGAACCCTCTGATGTAAAGTAAGGCTATCCTTGCGAGCGAAGCTCTTCCCACACTCCAAGCATCTACATGGCTTCTCTCCTGTGTGAATCATTTGATGTTTAGTGATGTTGCCACTGTGAGAGAAGGTCTTTCCACACTCCAAGCATTTATAGTGCTTCTCTCCTGTGTGAATCCGTTGATGGTTAGTGAGGGTGCCGCTGCAAGAGAAGTTCTTTCCACACTCTAAGCATTTATATGGCTTCTCTCCTCTGTGAATCCTCTGATGTGCAATGAGGTTGCCACTGTAAGAGAAGGTCTTTCCACACTCTAAACATTTATAATGCTTCTCTCCTGTGTGAATCCGTTGATGGCTAGTGAGGTTGCCACTCTGAGAGAAGTTCTTTCCACACTCCAAGCATTTGTATGGCTTCTCTCCGCTGTGAATCCTTTGATGTATAGTAAGGCTGGCACTGTAAGAAAAGGCCTTTCCACACTCCAAGCATTTATAGTGCTTCTCTCCTGTGTGAAAATGTATACCACAGGTTAGAAAAGGTATGAATAGGTATAGAAAAGAGGCCCTGCATGGTTAAGTCCATCAGTGGCTATTTGACAAAAGGTATAGAATTTTTAGCTCCTGATGGCACCTGGGTTTTGGTCACTGTGTGACACAAAGGGTGCGTTCAGACGGGGCATTTGCAACGGAATAGGTGCCGGTTGGAATCGGTGTACTTACTGGCGTTCACACGGCGAACATCTGCCTTCCGTCCCAAACTGTTGCAAAGAGCATTACACCGTTGTATTCTGCCACTAGGTCCCCTGAGTACAACGGTTGTAATCGCTTTACCCCCCCCCCCGTCTGATCGCTCTCCACCGTTATAGAGCCACTTCCGTTTTTCGCCCACTATTTTTTTAAAAAGGTCGGCGATATGCACTTGGGCGAAGCTTCGCCCTGGCGTTTGTTTAAAAAAAAAGAAAAGGTCCTTAGTTTAACGTTTCGGAGGAGTCCGGGACTTCAGGGAGGCCAGTTTGGTCTTTAAACTTTAAAGGTAAGTCCTTACCTTTAAAGTTTAAATGTAAGACGGGTTTTTTTGCGCATGCGCAAAGATCGCCATTCTGTGGATGGCTGCCTATGCGCATGCTCAAACTGAGTAAAAAAAATAATAAAACGCTGACACCCGCTGCATGTGAACGGGCATACAGCGATGGGCTCCGCAGACAGGAGGTAAGTGTGATCGTGTTTCAGCCAGCATAAATTGCACCGGTTCCAACCGGTACAGTTTATGCCGGCTGAAACGCCCCGTCTGAATGCACCCTGAGTGTTGGACTGGATGGGCCATTGGCCTGATCCAACATAGAATCATAGAATGTTAGAGTTGAAAGGGACCTTGCAGGTCATCTTATGTTCTCTTATGTTCTTATGACCTCCTGAGGCTCTGACACTGAACCACAGTCCCTGCCTGATCCCAGTTGTAGATATAGGACCTCAGCTCAAAAGTTCAATGGAAGTGAAACATTGTTTCTTAGACTTTACTTTCCTCAGCCTTTTGTTCTTATAATTAAAAGTTTCTTGTTTTTCATTAACCCTGTCAGCTGTGTATCTAAGGGGAAGAAGCACACACACAATTTAGTATCTCTGTCTATACAGAGACAGGGCTATATAGGACAGGGATGAACAGTGGCAGCGAGAGATTAGAAGAATGCTTGAGCCCAAGCCAGGGCTGTACTCAGCAATGGAGGTTGGGGGGCTGAGCCCCCTACCATGTACCCCAAAGCCCCACCAGCCACACACCCCAAAGGAGGTGGAATTTGGCTTCTGAGCAGTTGCAGCAAAGAAGGTCTTTATGATTTCTTAAAGAGATTTGGGGAAAGGGGGTGGTGGAGAAGCCTTGTGCCTGAACCAAAAGAGCTTCTTGGAGGGCGCACGGGGCGGGGGGGGGAGGCTTTCAGAGCAAGATCTCGGCACACAGAGGAGGGATCTCCAAAACAGGGTTTGAAGGAAAGATATTACCACACCAGTGGGTTTCTGCATTTATTTTTAACTTTTCCCATTTCCCATGATCAGTGAGCAAAAAGCAGCTGGGCTCACCAAATGTGTCAAGAGGGCAGAATCCTTCCGAAAACGGGTGGCTGCGAATTGACCCCCGATTCCCAGTCTGGGGGTGCAGCTCAACCCGTGCCTTAGGAGAAGCCCAAGGAGAAGCCGCCAGGCATGGCGGAGCCTGAGGAGGGGTGGGAAAGCGTCTAGCGTGGGCTCCCCTCTGTCGCAGTGCTGAAGAGCTCGGGGCAGGGGGGGGGGGGGAGGTGGGCAGCACACGATTGATAATTGGAGGTTTCAGGGGACATCTACCAGTTTCCCCCCTGCCCCTGTAAATTTCCTGGCTACGGACTTGGTCCCAGCCCCAGTAGCTCTGTGTGAGCAGGGGCTGATTATTAAAGGAGGCTAGACTACTCTGTCTGTGGATGTCTCTGGGAATGAGAGAGAGGACCTGAGGTGTGAGATGGATTTTAAAAGAGACAAGAGGGGTGGCGAGTGTGATGTCCTGACCTGTGTATATCCCATAATCTGAAGAAGAGAGGTTGTAGAGGGTGGTAGGCCCTCCGTGTGAGTGGATAAGGGGTGTCACCTAAAGTGGTGCCATAAATGGTGGGATACCAACCCCAGTTTTGGAGGTGTTCTTGATTAAAAGGCACTGGTAAAGTAAAAAACACCTGTTGCTGTGTGAGAAAAACTGCCCTCTTGAGGTGAAAGTTTTAGCTAAAGTAAATTTGGATTATTAAAACTGGAATGGTCTTTGGGAGGTGGGGGTGCTTGAAGAAATCGCAGCTCCAGTGATGCTAGGGAATGGCCTGGCAAAACGTGTAGCCAGAGTAAACAGGATAATTAACTCTCAGCTCAGAACTCTGCAAGGGGCAACTAGCCCAGAACAAGGGGTGGGCATCCAAGAAAATTTGCCAAAGGGAGCTAGGTCACCCTGTCTGTGGAAGTCTCTGGGAGTGAGAGAGAGAGGAACTGAGGCGTGAGACGGTCATAGGGCTGCCAAGTGGGGGCGGGTGGCGGGTAAACCCCCGCTTTGGAGGCCCGATTTCCGACGCTGCGGAATCGGGCCCCAGGGGGAACCCCACCCCTGCATGCGCGTCACTAGAAAGTGATGTGGGCATGCCGGGCACGGGGCCACAGCGTGCCTGGCGTCCTCCTGTCACTTCCGGGTGACGTGCGTGCGGCGCGTGCACGCACTAGACGCCAGCCGGGAGCCCCCCGCTCCCGGCGAAGAAACACTTGGCAACCCTAGACGGTCATGACGCTCTGTAGATTTTAAAAGAGACAAGAGGGGTGGCGAGTTTAATGTCCCGACCAGTATTCCCTCTAAGCTGAGTGAGTGTGAGCTAGCTCACAATTTTTTAGCCTCCAGCTCACAGATTTTTGTTTTAGCTCAGGAAGGAGGGCTCCAGAGCAAACTAATTTACGCAGCAGCCAAATCGCTCGCTCACAACTTTAATGCCAGTAGCTCACAAGGTAGAATTTTTGCTCACAGGACTCCACAGCTTAGAGGGAACATTGGTCCCGACCCATGTGTAACCTATAACCTGAAAAAGAGAGGTTTTAGTCACTCTGTGTGTGGACAAAAGGTGTCATAACAGCTCTCAAAACACACAGAGAATCAAACAACAAAATTTGGAAATGGATTTTAAGCATTTTTCTGGCTAAAAATAGAAGATAACACAACCTTATTAAAAAAAACCCCAATCTTAATGAAAAGCCTGGGTGAAGAGAAACATTTTAGCCTGGCCCCTAAAAGGAAGTAGCATAGTCATCAGGTGACCCTCAAGGGGAAGAGTATCCCAAAGGCACATTGCCATCTCTGATAAAGGCCTGTCTGTGGCCGTCACTCACCCAAACTCTAGAAGCAGGGCAGAGCTTGTGAGGAGGGCAGGCTAGACAGTAGGGAGGAGGTCTTTTCAAGGAACTTAAGCCATGCAGGGCCTTAAAGGGACCCACAATTTGAATGGTGCCTGGACTAGGCACTCGGTACAGATCTTTCAGCACCAGGGTGATACTATCCCTGTATCCCAAACGCTGACAGTAGCCTGGCTATCCCATTTAGATCCAACTGAAGTTTCCAGAACACCTTGAAAAGCCACCCCAAAAATCAACAGGCCAACAAGCACCGTCAATTCCACCTTGCATATCTCAGCTTTTTTGCTTCTGCAGTAACAAGATGGGATCCACTGGAAAACATGAGGAATGGCGATGGAGAGGGAAGGGCTTAGGGAAACACCCCCCCCCCCAATCTTCCCCTCCAGGATGTCAGGGGAAGGGGGTGCTTCCTGGTGATGCCAGTTCGGTGTAGTGGTTAAGAGAGTGGACTCTAATTTGGGAGAACCGGGTTTGATTCCCCACTCCTCCACATGCAGCTGCTGGTGTGACCTTGTGTCAGTCATAAGTTCTTTCAGAGCTGTTCTCTCAAGGACAGTTGTCAAGAGAGTTCTCTCAGCCCCACCTACCTCACAGGGTGTCTATTGTGGGGAGGGGGAGGGGATTGTAAGCCCCTCTGAGACTTCTTTGGGTAGTGGGGTATAAATCCAATCTCTTCTTCTCTTCTCTTGGAGGGGGCCTTGCAAAGGTAGGCCTGCAGGAAAACTTGCAGCAATGCCCGAGGCCTGTGTATGAGGGAAAGCCTGTCCTGAGGCCTACAAGGTGCTCCACTCCTCAGGCCTAGGATCATGACACAGGAGAATACAAACTTATGAGGCTACAAAGCACAGATCCTTCCTGGATATGCCTTGTTTGTTTCCCTGAAAGACCCTCAAAGGATTCTTCCTCTCACCTAGTTCAGTCGAGAAGGAAATGTGTTCTTGAGATCCTTCTGGTAATCTCTCCAGTGCTTCTTCTGACACAAGGCCTTCATCTGCTCTCAAGGTTCCATCTACCGGGAAGAGAAAGAAAAAGGAGGATATTGGAGCACATTTTTGTGTGATTATCAGCATTTAAAGACCATGGCCCCTCTCTGGGTTCACGTCTGGTTATCAGTGCTCTGATGGAAGAGAAGTCAGAAGTTCTCAAGTGAAAACTCTGTATATATCCTAGTCAAAGATAATACTTGTCAACTTTCCCGATTTTTATTTCAAATTAATCCTATTACTCTTGAAAGGATTAAACAGGGGAGAATCACAGTGATGCAGAAATACTTTCATAGGTCTATGAATCAGAAACAGAAAGATACCTCCTACTAGATGAAATTTCAAAGATTAAATACAATTTTTGAGATTCTCAACAAAGTGCTTTCTGAATGTCTGAGAGATTCAGGTGTGTTTGGGGTGTGTGGCTACTTGTCTTCTTTGAATCCATGATGTAAGTATTCAAGGGCCCCAATCATACGGGCCGGAAAATGCGGGGGAGAAGCGTGGCTGTTTGCCCCGGAGGAAAATAATGCGCAGTTGCGCGATCACACATCCCTTTGAGGTCCTGTGGAGGTCCCGTGGTTAGGGGGCAGGTGCTGATCACATGATGATCCTGCAGCGTGGCAAA